AATAGAGATTTATTGACCTAAAAGAGCGATTTATTGACCAAAAGGAAGCAAGTTGGGCATCAAAAAAAGCAATTTAAGGACCTCAAAAATGGGTTGGGGACCCAAAAATGGGGTGGGGACCCCCAAAAATGGGTTTAGGGAGCCTAAAATGGGATTGAGGACCCCAAAATAGTGGTTTAGGGAGGCCAAAAATGGGGTGGGGACCCCCAAAAATGGGTTGGGGACCCAAAAAAACCCCATTTATTGACCTAAAGTAGGGATTTATTGACCTAAAACAGAGATTTATTGATCTAAAATAGAGATTTATCGACCTAAAATAGGGATTTATTGACCTAAAATAGCCATTTATTGACCTAAAATAGAGATTTATTGATCTAGTATAGAGATTTATTGACCTAAAATAGCAATTTATCGACCTAAAATAGAGATTTATTGATCTAATATAGTGATTTATTGACCTAAAATAGTGACTTATTGACCTAAAATAGTGATTTATTGACCTAAAAGAGTAATTTATTGACCTAAAACAGTGATTTATTGACCCAAAATAGCGATTTATTGACCTAAAATAGTGATTTATTGACCTAAAATAGGGATTTATTGACCTAAAATAGGGATTTATTGACATAAAACAGTGATTTATTTACCTAATAGAGTGATTTATTGACCTAAAAGAGCGATTTATTGACCCAAAAGACCAAGTTGGGGATCAAAAAAAGCGATTTAGGGACCCCAAAAATAGGTTGGGGACCCCCAAAAATGGGTTTAGGGAGGCCAAAAATGGGTTGGGGACCCCCAAAAATGGGTTTAGGGAGGCCAAAAATGGGTTGGGGACCCCCAAAAATGGGTTTAGGGAGGCCAAAAGTGGGTTGGGGACCCCCAAAAATGGGGTGGGGACCCGAAAAAACCCCATTTATTGACCGAAAATAGGGATTTATTGACCTAAAATAGAGATTTATTGACCTAAAACAGCTATTTATTGACCTAAAATAGTCATTTATTGACATAAAATAGTGATCAATTGACCTAAAATAGTGATTTATTGACGTAAAATAGCAATTTATTGACCCAAAATAGTGATTTATTGACCTAAAATAGAGATTTATTGATCTAAAATAGAGATTTATTGACCTAAAATACTGATTTATTGACATAAAATGGTGATTTATTTACCTAATATAGTGATTTATTGATCTAAAATAGCGATTTATTGACCCAAAAGAGCAAGTTGGCTCCCTCCCTGAGGCGAAGACCCCCCCAAAAAACCCCCTGATTGGGGTGATCCTCCCAAAATCCCCCTCACTGAGGTGAAACCCCCTAAAATCCCCCTCACTGAGGAGAACCCCCCCCAAAAAAACCCCTAATTGGGGTGACCCCTCCAAAAACCCCCCTGATTGGGGTGACCCCCCCAAAATCCCCTCCCTGAGGAGAACACCCCCTAAAAAACCCCCCTGATTGGGGTGACGCCCCCAAAATCCCCCTCACTGAGGTGAAACCCCCTAAAACACCTAGTGTGGGTACCCCAAAATCCCCTCACTGAGGCAAAGACCCCTAAAACCCCCTGATTGGGGTTGACCCCCCAAAATCCCCTCCTGAGGCAAAGACCCCCAAAACCCCTGATTGAGGGTGACCCCCCAAAATCCCCTCACTGAGGAGAAGACCCCTAAAAACCCCCTGATTGGGTGACCCCCAAAATGCCCTCCCTGGGGCAAAGACCCCAAAATCCCCTCACTGAGGAAGACCCATAAAAAACCCCCCTGATTGGGGTGACCCCCCCAAAATCCCCCTCACTGAGGTGAAAACCCCCTAAAAAAACCCCTAATTGGGGTGACCCCCCAAATCCCCCTCACTGGGAGAACCCCTAAAAACCCCTGATTGGGGTGACCCCCAAAACCCCCTGATTGGGGTGACCCCCAAAATCCCCTCACTGAGGCAAAGACCCTAAAAAACCCCCTGATTGGGAGATCCCCCAAAATCCCCCTCCTGAGGAGAAACCCCCTAAAAACCCCTAATTGGGGTGACCCCCAAAATCCCCTCACTGAGGCAAGGACCACCCAAAATCCCTCCCTGAGGCAAAGACCCTAAAATCCCCCTCACTGAGGCAAAGACCACCCCAAAAACCTCCCTGATTGGGATGATGCCCCCAAAACCCCCCTGATTGGGGTGACCCCCCCAAAATCCCCCTCACTGAGGTGAAAACCCCCAAAATCCCTCTCACTGAGGCAAAGACCACCACAAAATCCCCTCACTGAGGCAAAGACCCCTAAACCCCCTAATTGGGGTGACCCCCCCAAAATCCCCCTCACTGAGGCAAAGACCCCCCAAAATCCCCCTCCCTGAGGTGAAAACCCCACTCAAAACCCCCTAATTGGGGTGACCCCCAAAATCCCCTCACTGAGGCAAAGACCACCCCAAACCCCCTCCTGAGGAGAAACCCCCAAAATCCCCCTCCTGAGGTGAAACCCCCAAAAACCCTAATTGGGGTGACCCCCAAAACCCCCTCCTGAGGTGAAACCCCTAAAACCCCCTAATTGGGGTGACCCCCAAAATCCCCTCACTGAGGTGAAAACCCCCTAAAAACTCCTAATTGGGGTGGGCCCCCAAAATCCCCCTCACTGAGGTGAAACCCCCAAAATCCCTCACTGAGGTGAAACCCCCTAAAAACCCCTGATTGGGTGACCCCCAAATCCCCCTCACTGAGGTGAAACCCCCTAAAATCCCCTCACTGAGGTGAAACCCCCTAAAATCCCTCCTTACTGAGCAGAAAACCCCCTAAAAACCCCTGATTGGGGTGACCCCCAAAATCCCCCTCACTGAGGCAAAGACCCCCAAAATCCCCCTCACTGAGGCAAAGACCCCCTAAAATCCTCCCTAATTGGGGTGACCCCCCCTCACTGAGGCAAAGACCACCCCAAAATCCCCTCCCTGAGGTGAAGCCCCCAAATCCTCCTAATTGGGGTGAGGCCCCTCACTGGGAGGCAAAGACCACCCCAAAATCTCCTGAGGTGAAACCCCCCTAAAAAAACCCCTGATTGGGGAGATCCCCCCCAAAATCCCCCTCACTGAGGCAAAGACCCCCCTAAAAACCCCCTAATTGGGGTGACCCCCCCAAAATCCCCCTCACTGAGGCAAAGACCCCCCAAAATCCCCTAATTGGGGTGACCCCCAAAATCCCCTCATTGAGGTGAAGACCCCCAAAATCCCCCTCCCTGAGGCAAAGACCCCCTAAAACCCCTAATTGGGGTGACCCCCCCAAAATCCCCCTCACTGGTGAAAACCCCCAAAATCCCCTACTGAGGTGAAATCCCCCTAAAACCCCCTAATTGGGATGACCCCCAAATCCTCACTGGTAAGACACCCCAAACCCCCCTCCCTGAGGAGAAACCCCCAAAATCCCCTCACTGAGGCAAAAACCCCCTAAAAAAAGCCCCTAATTGGGGTGACCCCCCAAAATCCCTCACTGGGTGAAACCCCTAAAACCCCTAATTGGGGTGACCCCCAAATCCCCTCACTGAGGTGAAGCCCCCAAAATCCCCCTCCCTGAGGACAAGGGCCCCCTAAATCCCCCTCACTGGGGAGAAACCCCTCCAAAAAAAACCCTAGTGGGGTGAGCCCCCAAAAATCCCCCTCACTGAGGTAGAAACCCCCCAAAATCCCCCCTCACTGAGGGGAGCCCCCAAAAACCCCTAGTTGGGGTGACCACCCCCAAAATCCCCCCTCACTGAGGTGGAAACCCCAGAAAAACCCCCTGATTAGGTGACCCCCAAAATCCCCCTGATTGGGGTGACCCCCAAAATCCCCCCTCACTGAAACCCCCTAAAGACCCACAGATTGGGGTGGCACCCCAAAATCCCCCTCCCTGAGGCGAAAGCCCCCAAAAAAACCCCCTAATTGGGGTGACCCCCCAAAATCCCCTCACTGAGGCAGAGACCCCCAAAAATCACTCCTGAGGGAGGCCCCTAAAAAACCCTGGTTGGGGTGAGCCCCCAAAAATCCCCCTCACTGAGGCAAAGGCCCCAAATCCCCCTCAATGGGGTAGAAAATCCCCAAAAATCCCCCTCACTGAGGTGGGAAACCCCCAAAATCCCCCTCCCTGAGGCAAAGACCCCTAAATCCCCCTCACTGAGGAGAACCTCCCCAAAAAACCTAATTGGGGTGACCCTCAAAATCCCCTCACTGAGGCAAAGACCCCCCCAAAATCCCCTCACTGAGGTGAAAACCCTAAAATCCCCCTCACTGAGAGAGCCCCCAAAAAACCCTAATTGGGTGGTGACCCCCAAATCCCTCACTGAGGAAAACCCCCAAAAACCCCTGATTGGGGTGACCCCCAAAATCCCTCCCTGAGGCAGACCCCCAAAGAAACCCTAATTGGGGTGGCCCCCCAAACCCCTCACCGGTTCGATCCCCCTCAGGTCCTGCCGCCCCCACCTTTTCCCACGCCCCCTCCCACCCCCAAATTTTCCCACCCACAGCCCCTTCCCCTCACCCCAGGACCCCAGGGCCTCCTTTCCCTCACCGGAGCTTCGGCTCATCCTCTTCTCCCACCCCGGGGGCAGCTTCTCCTCCTCCGCCATTTCCCCTTCCCTTCTCCCCTCCCCGCCCGCCCCGCCCTCACCGCCCACACTTTGTGGGCGGGGCTTACCCACGAATTCTCCCCTTCTATTGGCTGTCTCCTCGGCGGCGCCAAAAATCCCGCGCTGCGATTGGTGGATTCGCCTGTCAATCAAACGCGAGGCGAAGCCACGCAGGGCGCCATTTTTGTAGTTCCGGGCGAAGCGCGACGGTGGCCGCGCGGGGGACAAACTTAACGAGAACGCGAATTCGGGGGGGAGGTCAAAAAAAGCCACAAAACCACCCCCCAAAAACCACTTTTATTAGAAATTAATTCATCATCGCGAAGATTTTGAAGCTTCACCCTCTCCCGACCTCCCTCAGGGGCCTCTTGGTCCCTTTTTGAGCCCAGGTACCTTTCGGGAAGTGACGTCACGCGGGAGGGTTGCCATGGCAACCGGCGGGGTTGTTGTGAGGGGCACCAAAATGGCGGCGGGAGCCCCTCAGGTACCCCCGGGGGGCTCTTCCCCCTCCTTTGCCTCTTTTCCTTCTCCTCTTCCTCCTTCTCTTCCTCTTCTTTTCCTCTTCCTCTTCACTTCATCTTTTTCTTCCTCTTCTTTTCCTCCTCCTCCTTCTCTTCCTCCTCCTTTGCCTCTTCCTTCTCCTCTTTCTCCTTCTCTTCCTCTTCCTCCTCCTTCTCCTCTTCCTCTTCTCTTCCTCCTTATCTTCCACTTCTTTTCATCTTCCTCCTCCTTCTCTTCCTCCTTCTCTTCCTCTTCTTTTCCTCTTCTCTTCCTCTTCTTTTCCTCCTCCTCCTCCTCCTCTTTTTCCTCCTTCTTTTCCTCTTCTTTTCCTCCTCCTTTTCCTCTTCCTTTTCTTCTTCCTTCTTCTCTTCCTCTTCTCTTTCTCCTTCTTTTCCTCTTCTTTTCCTCTTCTCTTCCTCCTCCTCCTTCTCCTCTTTTTCCTCCTTCTTTTCCTCTTCTTTTCCTCCTTCTCTTCCCCTTCCTCTTCTTTTCCTCCTCCTTTGCCTCTTCCTTCTCTTCTTCCTCCTTCTCCTCTTCCTCCTTCTCTTTTTCTTCCTTCTCCTTCTCTTCCTCTTCTTTTCCTCTTCTCTTCCTCCTCCTTTTCCTCTTTTTCCTCCTTATTTTCCTCTTCTTCTCCTCCTCCTTCTCTTCCTCTCCTTTTCCTCCTCCTCCTTCTCTTTTTCCTCCTCCTCTTCCTCTTCTTTTCCTCCTCCTCCTCCTTCTCTTCTCTTCCTCCTTTTTTTCCTCTTCTTTTCCGCCTTTTCCTCTTCCTCCTCCTCTTCCTCTTCTTCCTCCTCCTGGGAAGGGGAAAAATGGGGGAAAAAAGAGGGATTTGGGGGATAAAAATGGGGATAAAGAGGGATTTTAGGGGGAAAAAATGGAATAAAAGAGGGATTTTGGGGGGGAAATTGGGATAAAAGAGGGATTTGGGGGGGAAAATTGGAATAAAGAGGAATTATTTGGGATAAAAATGTGGGGAAAAAAGGAGTTTGGGGGAAAATTGGAATAAAAGAGGGAATTTAGGGGGGAAAATTGGATTAAAAGAGGGATTTTGGGGGGGAAAATGGTGGGAAAAAAAGGGGAATTTTGGGGATAAAAATTTTATTCCCAATTTCCCCCCCCCTTTCATTCCCAATTTTCCACTTTCCCACCCCAAAAAAACCCCGAAAAACCCCCCAAAATCTCCAATAAAACCCTCAAAACCCCCTTTTTTTCCCAGAATTCCCCAAAAATTGGCCCCAATCCCAATTTTTTTGTTGTTTTCCCAGGACAACCCGACCTTAAATAAAAAAAAACACTTTGGGTTAATTTTTAATTTTTAAACCATTCCAAGAGGGTTTTTTTTGATCTCAGGGATCAAAAATCCCTTTTTTTTTGGTTTTTTTTTGGGTTTTTTTTCCTTCTTTTCTCCCTCATTCCCAGATTTATTTTTTTTTTAATCCCCTTTTCCCAGATTTTTCCAGGATGGAGGAAGAGGAGCAGCTGCACCACGACCTCAGGGACTTCACAGGTGAATTCCAGGAGTTTTGGGGGATTTTTTGGGATTTTAAAGGGAAATTCCAGGATTTTTTCCTCAGGATTTTAAAGGGAAATTCCAGGTTTTTTTATCAGGAGTTTAAAGGGAAATTCCAGGATTTTTTCCCTGGATTTTAAAGGGAAATTCCAGATTTTTTGGGGTTTTTTGGGGGGGATTTTAAAGGGAAATTCCAGGATTTTTGGGGGGATTTTAAAGGGAAATTCCAGATTTTTTTTCCCAGGATTTTTAAGGGAAATTCCAGGTTTTTCAGGGAATTTTCTGGGATTTTAAAGGGAAATTCCAGGATTTTTTGGGGAGATTTTTTTTGATTTTGAAGGGAAATTCCAGGGGTTTTTTTCCCAGGATTTTAAAGAGAAATTCCAGGATTTTTGGGGGGATTTTTTGGGATTTAAGGGAAATTTCAAGATTTTTTGGGGTTTTTTTTCCGGGATTTTAAAGGGAAATTCCAGGATTTTTAGGGGTTTTTTTCCAAGATTTTAAAGGGAGATTCCAGGATTTTTTCCTCAGGATTTTAAAGGGAAATTCCAGGTTTTTTCAGGGAATTTTCTGGGATTTTCAAGGAGAAATTCCAGGATTTTCCTCAAGTTTAAGGGAAATTCCAGGTTTCAGGAATTTTCTGGGATTTTCGAGGAGAATTCAGAGATTTTGGGGGATTTTCTGGGATTTTTAAAGGAAATTCAGGTTTTTCAAGGGAAATTCAGGATTTTCTCAGGATTTTAAAGGAAATTCCAGGTTTTTGGGATTTTCTGGATTTTAAGGGAAATTCCAGGATTTTTGGGGGATTTTCATCCCAGGATTTTAAAGGGAAATTCCAGGATTTTTCCCCGGGATTTTAAAGGGAAATTCCAGGATTTTTTCCCCCAAATTTTCAAGGAAAATTCCCGAATTTTTTGATATTTTTTCCCCCAAATTTTCAAGGAAAATTCCAGGATTTTTTTATTTTTTTACCCAATTTTTCAAGGAAAATTCCAGAATTTTTTGATATTTTTTCCCCCAAATTTTAGGGGGAAATTCCAGGATTTTTCCCAGGATTTCAAACCCAAATTCCAGGATTTTTTGGGGTTTTTTTCCCCAAATTTTAACCCCAAATTCCAGGATTTTTCTTGGGATTTCAAACCCAAATTCCAGGGTTTTTTCCCCGGGAATTTTCAAGGCAAATCCCTGAATTTCCCCCCTCCCCCATTCCCTTCTTGGTTGTTGAATCCCAAAATTCCTGGTTATTCATCAACCCTTCGGTCAACAGGGCTGGAAAAATCCGGGAATTTCCTTTCCCTTCCCTTGTTTTGTAAATTATTTAAATTATTTTATGACTCAAAATATCATTTATTGGTACTTTGGTTCAGTTTATTAATTATTAATTGATTTACTTATTATTAATTAATATACTTTAAATTAATTAATATATTAATATACTTTAATTAGCATATTAATTATATATATTATATAAAAATACATTAGTTAAAGTATATTAATTAATTAATTTATAATAGCATACTTTTATTTATTTCATTTATTTATTTCATTTTTTACTAAATTTTATTACTTTAATATTTTAATTACATTTTATTACTATATAACTTTAATTCATTATTTATTAACACTTGTATAATAATTAGCTTTTGATTGCTACATAATAAATTTATTTATTACTTTTAATTAATAATTTCAATAAGTATTGTTATAATAATTTTCATTCATTAATTTTAATTAATTGTAATGAACATTTAATTCTGATTTGATAGGTTTTAATTAAGTCTAATTATTAATTAATTTGTTATTAACTAGTATATTTTTATTTATTTCATTTTTTACTTAATTAACTTTATTACATTAATATTTTAATTACATTTTTTTACTATATAACTTTATTTAATTATTTATTATAATGGTATAGTAATTAGCTTTTGATTGGTATATAATAAGTTAATTTATTGCTTTTAATCAATAATTTTAATAATTAATATTTTACAATCTAATTAATTAATTTTCATTAATTTTAATGAACATTTAATTCTGATTTGATTGGTTTTAATTAATTCTTGTTATTAAATAATTAATTCATTATTAATTTATTATATTATTAATTTATTATTTATTATTATTAATTAATAATTTATTTATTATTTATTAATATGTTCTTGTTTATTTCAGTTTTTTATTTAATTTTGTTAATATTTTAATCCCATTTTATTGCTATATACCCTTAATTAACTATTTATTAATAATTGAATTGTAATTAAACCTTAATTAATTATTTCTCAATAATTGAATCATAATTAAACCTTAATTAACTATTTCTCAATAATTGAATCATGATTATTTTTTTATTTATATACATTAAATATTATGAACTATAAATTAACTAATTAATGTAAAATGAGTAGCACATTCATTAATTGCTATTTTATTAATTTTTAATTGCTATTTTATTAATTTTGAATGCTTATTTAATTTATTTTATTAATTTTTAATGATTATTTCATTTATTTCCCCTCCAGACCGGGGTTTTCTCCGGGGTTTTCTCCGCTCTTCCCTCCCCTTTTGGCTCCTGCTCGGCCTCTCCTTCCTCCTCAACCTCTTCCTCTCCAGCCTGGCCCTTGCCAGAGGTAAAATATTCCCTAAATCCCAAATTTCCCCCTCAAATCCCAAATTTCCTACCCCAAAATCCCATTTAATTCATTAATTATGCCCCAAAATCCCAAAATTCCACCCTTAAAATCCTGATTTTCCCCCTAAAATCCCCAAATTCCTCCCCAAATCCCAAAATTTCCCCCCCAAAATCCCAAATTTCCCACCCCAAAATCCCAAAATTCCACCCTTAAAATCCTGAATTTCCCCCTTAAAATCCCAAAATTCCACCCTTAAAATCCTGAATTCCCCCCCAAAATCCCAAATTTCCACCCCTAAATCCCCTTTAATTCCTTCATTTCCCCCCTAAAATCCCCCTAAATCCCAAATTTCCCCCTCAAATCCCAAATTCCCACCCCAAAATCCCCTTTAATTCCTTAATTTCCCCCCCAAATCCCAAAATTTCCTCCTCAAATCCCAAAATTCCCCCCCCAAATCCCAAAATTCCAGGAAAATTCCACCCCAAAATCCCAAAATTCCACCCCTAAATCCCAAAATTCCCCCCCAAAATCCCAAAATTCCACCCCAAAATCCCAAAATTCCCCCCCAAATGCCAAAATTCCCCCCCAAAATCCCAAAATTTCCCCCTAAAATCCCCAATTCCCTCCAAAAATCCCAAATTCCAGGCAAAATTCCCTCCCAAATCCCAAATTCCCACCCCAAAATCCCCTTTAATTCCTTAATTATCCCCCCCAATCTCAAATTCCAGGCAAATTCCCCCCCAAAATCCCAAAATCCCAGAAAAGATTCCCCTAAGTCCCAGAGTTCCCCCAAGATCCCAGATTCCACCCCAAGATCATTTGGTTCGTGATTTCACCCCAGATCCCAAGATTCCCCTAGATCCGGTTTCCCCCAAGATCTCAGGATTTCCCCCAGATCCCAAGGTTCACCCCAGATCCCAGGATTCCTCCTAAGTTCCAGGATTCCCCCAAGATCCTTTGGTTCCTTCATTCCCCTAAGATCCCACAGTTCACTCCTAGATCTCAAGATTTCCCCCAAGATCCCAGGATTCCCCCAAGATCCCCAGGTTCCCACTTCCCAAGATCCCAGGTTCAGAGGATTCCCCAAGATCCCCAGGTTCCTCCTAGGTCCCAGGTTCCAGAGGATTTCCTCAAGATCCCAGGATTCGAAGAGTTCCCCTAGATCCCAAGATTCATCCTCAAGATCCCAAGAGTTCCCCCTAAGTCCAGTTTCCCCCAAAATCCCAAGATTTCCCCCCCAAGATCCCAAAATTCCGGAAGATTCCTCCCAAAATCCCCAAATTCAGAGATTCCCCCAGATCCAAAATTCCCCCTCCAAATCCCAAGAATTCCCCCTAAGATCCCAAAGATTCCCCCAGATCCTCAATTTCCATCCCAAGATCCTTTAGTTCGTTAATTTCCCCCCAGATCCCAAGATTCCTCCCCAGATCCCAAGATTTCCCCCAAATCCCAGGAATTCTGGGTGAGTTCCACCCCAAAGATCCCAAGATTCCCCCAAGATCCCAAGAGTTCCCTCCTGAGTCCCAAAGATTCCCCCAAGATCCCAAAATTTCCCCCAAGATCCCAAAGATTCCCCTCCCAGATCTCCAGATTCCCCCTAAATCCCAAAGGATTCCCCCCCAAGATCCCAGAATTCCCGCTAAGATCCAGATTTCACATAAATCGAATTTCCCTAAAGTCCCAAGATCCCTAGATCCTAAATTCCCATCCCAAGATCCCAATTAATTCATTGATTTCCACCCCAGATCCAAAGATTCCCCCAAAATCCCCAAGATTCCCCCAAAATCCCAAGATTCCCCCAAGATCCCAGAATTCCCCCAGATCCCAGATTTCCCCCAAGATCCCAAAAGTTCCTCCAATCCCAAGAATTCCTCCCAAGATCCTTTAATTCTTGATTCCCCCAGATCCTAGGATTTCCCAAAATCCCAAGATTCCAGGAGAATTCCCCCTAAATCCCAGGATTCCCCCCCAAATCCCAAAGATTCCATGAAAATTCCCTCCCAAAATCCCCAAGATCCAGGAAAATTCCCCCAAAATCCTGAAATTCCCCCTAAATCCCAAAATTCCCCTTAAAATCCCAAATTCCACTCATAAAATCCCAAAATTCCCCCTAAATCCCCAAAATTCCCCAAAATCCCAAATCCCAGGAAAATTCCCCCTAAATCCCAGAATTCCCCCTAAATCCCAAAATTCCCCCAAATCCCCAATTTCCCCATCCCCCATCCCCAAATTCCTGGGAATGTTTTTCCCCCTTGGAAAATCCCCAATTAATGAGATTTTTCCTGGAATTCTTTCCCAGTTTCCGGCCTCTCTTCCCAACTCCGGGAGCTGAAACCTCAACAGGAGCTCAACTTTTCCAACCGGGATTCGCTCCGTGAGTCCCTCCTGGAATTTCTTGGAATTTCTTGGAATTTCTTGGAATTTCCTGGAATTTTCTGAAGTCCTGAAATCCCAAAAAATCCCCAAAATTCTCCCCCTCATCCCCAGGATTCCCAAAATTCCCCCCTAGGATTCCTTCCCAAGTTCCCCTCGGGAAAAATCCCAAGGAATTCTTTGGGAAAATTCCAGGTAAAATTGGGAAAATTCCGTTGAAAATTTGGGAAAATTCCCATTTTAAAATTGGGAAAATTCCAAATAAAATTTGGGGGAAAATCCCATTTAAAATTCGGGAAAATTCCATGGAATCCTTTGGGAAAATTCCATTTAAATTCCCTAAATTCCCCCCCTTTTCCCCCCCTTTTCCCACCTTTTTCCCACCCTTTTATCCCTAAAATTCCCTAAAATCCCACCCTTTTTCCCACCCTTTCCCCACCCTCTTATCCCTAAAATTGCTCCCTTTTCCCACCTTTTTCCCACCCTTTTATCCCTAAAACTCCCTTTTCCCACCCTTTATCCACCTTTTGCCTTTTCCCACCTTTTCCAGCCCTTGATATCCCTAAAATTCCCCCTTTGTCCCACCCTTTGTCCCACTCATTTCCACTAAAGCTCCCCCATGCTCCACCCTTTTCCAGCCCATTTTCCCCTAAAGTTCTCCCTTTCCCAAACCCTTTTCACACTCTTTTCCCACCCTTTTGTCCCTAGAGTTCCTAAAATCCCTTTTTCCCACCCTGTTTCCCTAAAACTACCCCTTTGCCCCACTTTTCCCCACTCACCCTCTTGTCCTAAAGATCCCCGGTTTTCCCCCACTCTTTTCACCACTTTCCCTAAAATTCCCCCTTTTCCCAAACCCTTTTCCCACACTCTTTTCCCACCCTTTTTTCCCTAAATTCCCACCCTTTTCCCCTCTTTTCCCACCCTTTTCTCCTAAAATTTCCCCTTTTCCCTCTTTTCCCTTTTCCCCATTTTCCCACCCTTTTCCTGCCCTTTTCCTGCCCTTCTATCCCTAAATTCCCTCCTTTTCCCCCTTTCCACCCTTTTATCCCTAAAATTCCTAAAATCCCCCTTTTCCCTTTTCCCACCCTTTTCCCACTCTTTTCTCCCTAAAATCCCTTTCCCCCCTTTTCCCAGTAAATCCCTCCTAACCCCATCCCCCTTTTCCCCCCTATCCCTTTTTTTCCCTGCAGTTTTTCCCTGCGGGCCGAATTCCCGGGACTGGGAATATTTCCATGGAAAATGTTACTACTTCTCCTGGGCAAATCCAGCTGGGGCAGGCTCGGAGCCAGTCGCCGGAGCTCGGGGCTCAACTCGTGGTCATCGACAGCTTCCCGGAGCAGGTGCTGCTTCCCAATCCCAAATCCATCTCCCAGATCCCAAATTCCTGACCCTGATCCCAAATTCCTGACCCTGATCCCGATCCTGATCCCAAATCCACTTCGGATCCAGTGCCGGAGCTCGGGCTCAACTACTCGCAGTCATCGACACCTCCACATCCCAAATCCACCTCCCACATCCCAAATCCACATTCCATGATCCCAAATCCCACATTTCCTGATCCCAAATCCCACATTCCCTGATCCCAAATTCACTGCCTGATCCCAAATTCCTGCCCCTGATCCCTAGAATTCCCTGCCTGATCCCGATCTGATCCCCGAATCCACCCGGATCCAGTGCCGGGGCTCGAGGCCTCAACTTCTGCAGTCATCGACAGCTTCCCGGAGCAGGTGCCGCTTCCTGATCCCAAATCCCACATTCCTGGTCCACAAATCCACCTCCCAAATCCCTGTCCTTGATCCCAATCCATGTCCCAAATCCCTGATCCCAAATCCACCCCGGATCCAGTGCCGGGAGCTCGGGGCTCAACTCGCAGTCATCGACAGCTTCCCAGAGCAGGTGCCACTTCCTGATCCCAAATCCATCTCCCTGATCCCAAATCCACCTCCAGATCCCAAATTCCTGACCCTGATCCCAAATTCCTGACCCTGATCGCAATTCTGCCCCTGATCGATCCTGATCCCAAATCCCCCGGATCCAGTGCCGAGAGCTTTCAGGGCTCAACTTCGCCGTCATCGACAGCTTCCGGGAGCAGGTGCTGCTTCCAGATCCCAAATCCCACATTCCTGATCCCAAATCCACCTCCCAAATCCCTGTCCTTGATCCCAATCCAGATCCCAAATCCCTGATCCCAAATCCACCCCGGATCCAGTGCCGGGAGCTCGGGGCTCAACTCGCAGTCATCGACAGCTTCCCGGAGCAGGTGCGACTTCCTGATCCCAAATCCACCTCCCACATCCCAAATCCCACATTCCTGATCCCAAATTCCTGCCCCTGATCCCAAATTCCTGTCCTTGATCCCAATCCATATCCCAAATCCCTGATCCCAAATCCAGCCCGGATCCAGTGCCGGGAGCTCGGGGCTCAACTCGCAGTCATCGACAGCTTCCCGGAGCAGGTGCTGCTTCCAGATCCCAAATCCATCTCCCAAATCCCAAATCCCACATTCCTGATCCCAAATTCCTGGTCCTGATCCCAAATTCCTGCCCCTGATCCCGATCCTGATCCCAAATCCACCCCAGATCCAGTGCCGGGGCTCGGGCCTCAACTTCGCAGATCATCGACAGCTTCCCGGAGCAGGTGCCGGCTTCCCAATCCCAAATCCACATTCCTGATCCCAAATTCCTGACCTGATCCCAAATTCCTGCCCTGATCCCAAATTCCTGCCCCTGATCCCGATCCTGATCCCAAATCCACCCCAGATCCAGTGCCGGGAGCTCGGGGCTCAACTCGCCGTCATCGACACCTCCCACATCCCAAATCCCACATTCCTGATCCCAAATCCCACATTCCTGATCCCAAATCCATCTCCCAAATCCCTGTCCTTGATCCCAATCCATATCCCAAATCCCTGATCCCAAATCCACCCGGATCAGTGCGGGAGCTCGGAGGCTCAACTGCGTAGTCATCGACAGCTTCCCGGAGCAGGTGCCACTTCCTGATCCCAAATCCCACATTCCTGATCCCAAATTCCTGACCCTGATCCCAAATTCCTGCCCCTGATCCCAAATTCCTGACCCTGATCCCGATCCTGATCCCAAATCCACCCCGGATCCAGTGCCGGGAGCTCGGGGCTCAACTCGCAGTCATCGACACCTCCCACATCCCAAATCCACCTCCCACATCCCAAATCCCACATTCCTGATCCCAAATCCACCTCACACATCCCAAATCCACCTCCTGATCCCAAATCCACCTCCCACATCCCAAATCCCACATTCCTGATCCCAAATCCACCTCCCACATCCCAGGGGGATTTTCCCAAGGATTCCATGGAATTTTCCCAAAGGATTCCATGGGGATCTTCCTGAGTATTCCATGGGATTTCCCTGAGGATTCTGTGGGATTTTCCCAAATTTTAATTGGAATTTTCCTGAGGATTCCATGGAATTTTCCCAAGAATTCCATGGAATTTTCCCCAAGAACTTCCTGCTGTTCCAGATCCCAATCCCTTCCTTTTCCCAACTTTCAATGGGATTTTTCCCAAATTTTAATTGGAATTTTCCCAAGGATTCCAGGGGATCTTCCTGAGGATTCCATGGAATTTTCCCAAGGATTCCATGGAATTTTCCCGAGGACTCCATGGGATTTTCCCAAGGATTCCAGGGGATTTTTCCCAAGAATTCCATGGAATTTTCCTGAGAATTTTATGGAATTTTTCCCAAAGGATTCCATGGGATTTTTCCTATATTTTCTTTGGAATTTTCCTGAGGATTCCATGGAATTTTCCTGAGGATTCCAGGGAATTTTCCTGAAGATTCCATGGAATTTTTCCCAAAGGATTCCATGGAATTTTCCCAAAGCATTCCATGGAATTTTCCCAAGGATTCCATGGAATTTTCCTGAGGATTCCAGGGAATTTTCCAGGGGATTTTCCCAAAGGATTCCATGGAATTTTCCCGAGGATTCCATGGAATTTTCCTGAGGATTTTATGGAATTTTTCCCAAAGGCTCCCATGGAATTTTCCTGAGGATTCCACGGATTTTTCCCCAGAATTCCATGAAATTTCCCCAATAACTTCCCGCTCTTCCAACTCCCAATCCCTTCCTTTTCCAACCCCTTTTCCCAATCCCTGATCCCTCTTTTTTTTTCCCCTCCCCCCCCCAGACGTTCCTGATGTTCCGGACTCGCAACGAGCGCTTCTGGATCGGCCTCTCCGACCGGAATTCCGAGGGAATTTGGGAATGGATCGACGGCACCGACTACGGCTCCTCCTTCACGTCCGTGGAGTTTGGGGGAAATCCCATTTAAAATTCCGGGAAAATTTCATGGAATGTTTTGGAAAATTCCAGTTAAAATTGGGGAAATTCCCATTTAAAATTTGGGAAAATTCCATTTAAAATTTGGGAAAATTCCATTTAAAATTTGGGAAAAATCCCATTTTAGAATCAGGAAAAATTCCATGGAATCTTTTGGAAAATTCCATTTAAAAATCAGGAAAAATTCCAATTAAAACTTGGGAAAATTCCATTTAAAATTTGGGAAAAATCCACTTTAAAGTTGGGAAAAATTCCATTCAATCCTTGGGAAAAATCCCATGGAATTCTTTGGGAAAATTCCAATTAAAATTCAGGAAAATCCCAATTAAAATTTGGGGAAATTCCCATTTAAAGTTGGGAAAAATCCCATTTAAAATTTGGGAAAAACCCCATGGAATTCTTTGGGAAAATTCTGTTTAAAATTTGGGGAAAATTCCATTTAAAATTTGGGAAAAATCCTATTTAAAATTCTGGAAAATTCCATTTAAAATTTAGGAAAAATCCCATTTAAAGTTGGGAAAAATCCCATTTAAAATTTGGGAAAAATCCTATTTAAAGTTGGGAAAAATCCCCTTTAAAATTTGGGGAAAATTCCACTGAATCCTTTGCAAAAAATTCCTTTTAAAATTTTGGGGAAAATCCCATTTAAAATTTGGGAAAATTCCATTTAAAATTGGGAAAAATTCCATTTAAAATTCGGGAAAATTCCATTTAAAATTTGGGAAAAATTCCATTTAAAATTCCGGGAAAATTCCATGGAATCCTTGGGGAAAATTGCGTTTAAAATTTGGGAAACATTCCATTTTAAATTTAGGAAAAATTCCATTTAAAATTCTGGAAAATTCCATTTAAAATTTAGGAAAAATCCCATTTAAAGTTGGGAAAAATCCCCTTTAAAATTTGGGAAAAATCCCATTTAAAGTTGGGAAAATTCCATTTAAAATTGGGGGAAAATCCTATTTAAAATCCTGGGAAAATTCCATGGAATCCTTGGGGAAAATTGCATTTAAAATTTGGGAAAATCCCATTTAAAATTTGGGAAAAATTCCATTTAAAGTTGGGGAAAATTCCAATTAAAATTTGGGAAAAATTCCATTTAAAATTTGGGGAAAAATCCCATTTAAAATTGGGGAAAATTCCATTTAAAATTTAGGAAAATTCAGTGGAATCCTTTGGGAAAATCCCTTCTAATATTTGGGAAAAATCCCATTTAAAATTTGGGAAAAATCCCATTTAAAATTTGGGAAAAACCCCATGGAATTCTTTGGGAAAATTCCAATTCAAATTTGGGAAAAATTACTCTAAAAATCCCATTTTCACCCCCCTTTTTTACTCTAAAAATCCCATTTTCACCCTCCTTTTTTACTCTAAAAATCCCATTTTCACCCCTTTTTTTTCCCCAACCTCCCCCTTTTTCCCCTCAATTTTTCCCTCAATTTTCCCATCCCGAATCCCAATTTTTTCCCAATTTTTCCCGATTTTTCCCGCAGTTTCTGGAAGGAGGGGGAGCCAAAAAATCCCATTTTCACCCCCCTTTTTTACTCTAAAAATCCCATTTTCACCCCCTTTTTTTTCCCCTCAATTTTTCCATCCCAAATCCCATTTTTTTATTTAAAAATCCCATTTTCACCCTCCTTTTTTACTCTAAAAATCCCATTTTCACCCTCCTTTTTACTCTAAAAATCCCATTTTCACCCCCCTTTTTTTCCCCTCAATTTTTCCCTCCCAAATCCCAATTTTTTTATCTAAAAATCCCATTTTTATCCCCCTTTTTTACTCTAAAAATCCCATTTTCCTCCCATTTTTCACCCCTTTTTTTCCCCAAACCCCCCCCTTTTTCCCCTCAATTTTTCCCATCCCAAATCCCAATTTTTTCCCGATTTTCCCCCAGTTTCTGGAAGGATGGGGAACCGAAAAATCCCATTTTCACCCTACTTTTTTACTCTAAAAATCCCATTTTCACCCTCCTTTTTTTTTCCAACCCCCCCTTTTTTTCCCTCCCAGTTTTCCCATCCCAAATCCCATTTTTTATTTAAAAATCCCATTTTCACCCCCCTTTTTTACTCTAAAATCCCATTTTCACCCCAATTTTCACCCTCTTTTTTACTCTAAAAATCCCATTTTCACGCCATTTTTCACCCCCTTTTTTTCCCTCAATTTTCCCCTCCTAAATCCCATTTTTTTATTTAAAAATCCCATTTTTTCCCCTTTTTCACCCCCTTTTTTACTCTAAAAATCCCATTTTCACCCCTTTTTTCTCTCAATTTTCTCCTCCCAAATCCCAATTTTTTATCCTAATAATCCCATTTTCCTCCCAATTTTCACCACTTTTTTTACTCTAAAAATCCCATTTTCCTCCCAATTTTCACCCCCTTTTTTACTCTAAAAATCCCATTTTCACCCCTTTTTTTTCCCCAACTCCCCCCTTTTTCCCCTCAATTTTCCCTCAATTTTTCCCCTCAATTTTTTCCCAATTTTTCCCGATTTTTCCCGCAGTTTTTGGAAGGAGGGGGAGCCGAACGACAGCGGGGGCAACGAGGACTGCGCCCACCTCTGGCTGGGGGGCCGCTGGAACGACGTCCACTGCAACTACGAGTGCTTCTTCATCTGCGAGAAAAAACTCCCCCCCTGAGGGAAATCCCTCTTTTTTCCAAGGAATTCCCAAAAAAAACCTCTCCCCCTGAAAGAAATCGCTCTTTTTTTAAGGAATTCCCAAGAAAAAACTCCCCCCAATGAAGGAAATCCCTTTTTTCCCAAGGAATTCCCAAGAAAAACCTCCCCCCCTGAAAAAAATCCCTTTTTTCCCAAGGAATTCCCAAGAAAAACCTCCCCCCCTGAAAGAAATCCGTTTTTTTTAAGGAATTCCCAAGAAAAACCTCCCCCCCCCGAGGGAAATCCCTCTTTTTTCCAAGGAATTCCCAAGAAATCCCTCTTTTTTTAAGGAATTCCCAAGAAAACCTCCTCCTGAAAGAAACTGCTTTTAAGGAATTCCCAAGAAAACCTCCCCGAAAGAAATCCCTTTTTTTTCCAAGGAATTCCCAAGAAATCCCTCTTTTTTCCAAGGAATTCCCAAAAAATCCCTCTTTTTTCCAAGGAATTCCCAAGAAATCCCTCTTTTTTCCAATGAATTCCCAAGAAAAACCTCCCCCCCCTGAGGGAAATCCCTCTTTTTTAAGGAATTCCCAAGAAATCCTCTTTTTTAAGGAATTCCCAAGAAATCCCTCTTTTTTCCAAGGAATTCCCAAGAAAAACCTCCCCCCCTGAGAGAAATCCCTCTTTTTTCCAAGGAATTCCTAAGAAATCCCTCTTTTTCCAAGGAATTCCCAAGAAATCCTCTTTTTCCAAGGAATTCCCAAGAAAACCTCCCCATGAAAAATCCCTTTTTCCCAAGGAATTCCCAAGAAAACCTCCCCCCATGAAAAAAATCCCTTTTTTCCCAAGGAATTCCCAAGAAAAACCTCCCCCCAATGAAGGAAATCCCTTTTTTTTCCCAAGGAATTCCCAAGAAATCCCTCTTTTTTTAAGGAATTCCCAAGAAAAACCTCCCCCCCTGAAAGAAATCCCTTTTTTTTTCCAAGGAATTCCCAAAAAATCCCTCTTTTTTCCAAGGAATTCCCAAGAAATCCCTCTTTTTTCCCAGGAATTCCCAAGAAAAACCTCCCCTGAAAGAAATCCCTTTTTTTTTAAGGAATTCCCAAGAAAAACCTCCCTCCCTGAGAAAAATCCCTTTTTTCCCAAGGAATTCCCAAGAAAAACCTCCCCCCCTGAAAGAAATCCCTCTTTTTTCCAAGGAATTCCCAAGAAAAACCTCCCCTGAAAGAAATCCCTTTTTTAAGGAATTCCCAAGAAAACCTCCCCGTGAAAGAAACCCTCTTTTCCCAAGGAATTCCCAAGAAAAACCTCCCCTGAAAGAAATCCCTTTTTCCCAAGGAATTCTCAAGAAAACCTCCCCCTGAGAGAAATCCCTTTTTTTAAGGAATTCCTAAGAAATCCCTCTTTTCCCAAGGAATTCCCAAGAAAACCTCCCCTGAGATAAATCCTCTTTTCCAAGGAATTCTCAAAATCCCTCTTTTCCAAGGAATTCCCAAGAAATCCCTCTTTTTTCCCAGGAATTCCCAAGAAAAACCTCCCCTCCCTGAAGGAAATCCCTCTTTTTTCCAAGGAATTCCCAAGAAATCCCTCTTTTTTCCAAGGAATTCCCAAGAAATCCCTCTTTTTTTAAGGAATTCCCAAGAAAAACCTCCCCCCCTGAGGGAAATCCCTCTTTTTTTAAGGAATTCCCAAGAAATCCCTCTTTTTTCCCAAGGAATTCCCAAGAAAAACCTCCCCCCCTGAGAGAAATCCCTTTTTTTTTTAAGGAATTCCCAAGAAAAACCTCCCCTGAGGGAAATCCTCTTTTTAAGGAATTCCCAAGAAAACCTCCCCTGAGAGAAATCCCTTTTTCCCAAGGAATTCCTAAAAACCTCCCCCTGAAAGAAATCCCTTTTTCCCAAGGAATTCCCAGAAAAAACTCCCCTTGAAAAAAATCCTCTTTTTTAAGGAATTCCCAAGAAAAACCTCCCCCCCATGAAGGAAATCCCTCTTTTTTTAAGGAATTCCCACCTGGAATTCTCGATGGTTTTAGGGCTGGGTAATAAAAATTAAAAAAAAAGGGAGAGGGTTGTTGGTTTGGGGGTTTGGGGAAAAAGGGGGAAAAGGGGGAAAAACGGGGGAAAAAGGAGAAAAAGGGGGAAAAGGAAGGAGAAAAGGAGGGGGAAAAGGAGGGGAAAAGGGAGAAAAGGGAGAAAAAGGAGGAAAAAAGGAGGGAAAAGGGGGGGGAAAAGGGAAGGAAAAGGGGGGGAAAGGGGGAAAAAAGGAGGGGAAAGAAAGGAGAAAAAAGGGGGGAAAAAGGGGAGGAAAAAGGAGGGGAAGGGGGGAAAAGGGAGGGGAAAAAAGGGGGAAAAGGGGGAAGGAGGAAAAGGAGAAAAAGTAGGGGGAAAAAGGGAAAAAAAGGGAGAAAAAGGGGGAAAAGGAGGGAAAAAGGAAAGGGGGAAAAGGGGGGAAGGAGAAAAAGGGGGAAAAAAGGAAACGGGAGGAAAAAGGGGGAAGGGAGAAAAAGGGGGAAAAGGAGAAAAAAGGAGGGAAAAAGGGGGAGGGAGAAAAAGGAGGGGGAAAAGGGGGGAAATGAGGGGGAAAAGGTGGAAAAAGGGGGAAAAGGGGAGAAAAATGGAGGGGGAAAGGGAGAAAAAGGGGGAAGGGGGAAAAGGGGGAAAAAGGGAGGGAAAAAGGGAGAAAAGGAAGGGGGAAAAGGAGAAAAACGGGGGAAAAGGGGGAAAAAAGGAGGGAAAAAAGGGGAAGGGAAAAAGGAGAAAAAGGGGGAAAAGGAGGGAGAAAGAAGGGGGAAGGGGAAAAAGGGGGAAAAGGAGGGAAAAGGGGGGGAAAGGAGGGAAAAAAGGGAGAAAAAGGAGGGAAAAAGGGGAGGAAAAGGAGGGGGAAAAAGGGAGAAAAAAGGGGGGGAAAAGGGGAGAAAAAAGGGGGGGAAAGGGGGAAAAAAGGGAGAAAAAGGAGGGAAAAAGGGGAGGAAAAGGAGGGGGAAAAAGGGAGAAAAAAGGGGGAAAAGGGAGAAAGGGAGAAAAAAGGGGGGAAAAGGGGGGAAAAGGGAGGGAAAAAAGGGAGAAAAAAAGGAGGGAAAAAGGGGGAAAGAGGGAAAAAAGGGGTGGGAATTGAAGGTTTGAAAGGGAAATAAAAATATAAAAAGGGGTTTTCCAAGGTTTTTCCGGGAATTTTGGCGCGGTTTGGGTGGGAAATTCACCTGGAGTTTTGGAATTTTGGGGTGGGTTCATAAGGAGGAAAATCCAGGAGCCCGCAGGGATTTGGGAAAAGTCTCTTTCCCTTCCCGATTTCCAAAAAAAACCCCCATCATTTCCCATCTTTTCCCGGATTTTTTGGGGATGTTTAGGTGGGATTTCCCCGCGGGAAAATCGCCTGGAATTTTGGGGTGGGTTTGGTCCCATCCCGGTTTTTTTTCCCGGCGTTTTCCCGGTCCCATCCCGTTTTTTTTCCCCAGCGTTCTCCCGCTCTGATCCCAGTTTTTTTCCCGGTTCGATCCCGGGTTTTTTCCTGCTCCGATCCTGCCCCTATCCCGGTGCTTTCCCGGCTCCTTCCCGGTCCGATCCCGCCCCTATCCCGGTGTTTTTTCCGGCGTTCTCCAGGTCTGATCCCGGTATTTTTTCCCGATCCTCTCCCGATCCCATCCCGGTGTTTTTCCCGGTCCGATCCCGCCCCTATCCCGGTGTTTCCCCCGGTCTGATCCCGGTGCTTTTCCCGGCGTTCTCCCGGTCCGATCCCAGTTTTTTTCCCGGTCCCATCCCGGTTTTTTTCCCGGTGCTCTCCCGGTTTTTTTCCAGGTCCGATCCCGCCCTTATCCCGGCGCTCTCTTCCCAGTCCTCCCCCACTCTGATCCCGGTGTTTTTCCCGGTCCTCTCCCGGTCCGATCCCGGTATTTTTTCCCGGTGTTCTCCCGATCTAATCCCGGGTTTTTTTCCCGGTCAGATCCCGGTTTTTTTCCAGGTCCGATCCCGCCCCTATCCCGGTGCTCTCTTCCCAGTCCTTCCCCACTCTGATCCCGGTGCTTTTCCCGGTCCCCTCCCGGTCCCATCCCGGTTTTTTTCCCGGCTCTGATCCCGGTCCCATCCCGGTGTTTCCCCCGCTCCGATCCCGGTGTTTTTCCCGGCGTTCTCCCGGTCCCATCCCGGTGCTTTTCCCGGCGCTCTCCCGGCTCTGATCCCGGTGTTTTTCCCGGCGTTCTCCCGATCTAATCCCGGGTTTTTTTCCCGGTCCGATCCCGGTTTTTTTCCCGGTCAGATCCCGGTTTTTTTCCAGGTCCGATCCCGCCCCTATCCCGGTGATCTCCTTCCAGTCCTCCCCCACTCTGATCCCTGTGTTTTTCCCGGTCCGATCCCGGTTTTTTTCCCGGTGCTCTCCCGGTGTTTTTCCCGGTCCGATCCCGCCCCTATCCCGGCGCTTTCCTCCCAGTCCTTCCCCGCTCCCATCCCGGTGCTCTCCCGGCTCCTCCCGGCTCCTCCCGCTCCTCCCCCGCTCCGATCCCGCTCCCATCCCGGTGTTCTCGCGGCTCCTTCCCGGTCCGATCCCATCCCGATCCCCTCCCGCTCCTCTCCCGGTGTTTTCCGCCCGCTATTCCCACCATCCTATCCCGGTCCTCCCCCTGGACCGGTCCCGGTCCCATCCCGGTCCGATCCCGGTGCTCTCCCGGCTCCTCCCGGTCCGATCCCATCCCGATCCTTTCCTGGCTCCTTCCCGCTCCTCCCCCGGTCCTATCCCGGTCCGATCCCGGTGTTCTCTCGGCTCCTTCCCGCTCCGATCCCATCCCGATCCCATCCTGATCCTATCCTGGTCCGATCCCATCCCGCTCCTCTCCTGGCTCCTCCCGTTCCTCCCCCGCTCCCATCCCGGTCTTATCCCGGTGATCTCCTGGTTTTATCCCGGCTCCTCCCTCTCCTCTCCCGGTCCTCTCCTGACTCCTCCCGGATCCTCCCGCTCCTCTCCCGGTTTTATCCCGCTCCTCCCCCGCTCCTATCCCGGTCTTATCCCGGTGCTCTCCCGGCTCCTCCCTCTCCTCCCCCGCTCCTCTCCCGGTCCTCTCCCGACTCCCGCTCCTCCCCTGGACTCATCCCTGTCTTATCCCAGTCCTATCTCTGTCCTCTCCCGGTTCCTTCTCCCGCTCCTTCCCCGATTTTATCCCAGTTTTATCCCGGTGCTCTCCTGGTTTTATCCCGGTGCTCTCCTGGTTTTATCCCGGTGCTCTCCCGGTTCCTTCTCCCGCTCCTATCCCGATCTTATCCCGGTCCTCTCCCGGTCTTATCCCGGCTCCTCCCGCTCCTCCCCCGGTCTTATCCCGGCTCCTCCCTCTCCTTCCCCTCTCCCGGCTCCTCCCGCTCCTCCCCCGGTCCCATCCCTGTCTTATCCCAGTCCTATCCCGGCTCCTCCCCCGATCTTATCCCGGTGCTCCCCCGGCTCCTGCGCTGCTCCTGTCCCGGTGCTCTCCCGGTCTTATCCCGGCTCCTTCTCCCGCTCCTATCCCGGCTCCTTCTCCCGCTCCTATCCCGGTGTTATCCCTGTGTTTCTCCCGGCTCCTCCTCCCGCTCCTATCCCGGTGTTATCCCTGTGTTTTCCCGGCTCCTTCTCCCACTCCTATCCCAGTTTTATCCCTGTGTTTTCCCGGCTCCTTCTCCCGCTCCTATCCCGGTTTTATCCCGGTGTTTTTCCGGCTCCTTCTCCCGCTCCTATCCCGGTGTTATCCCTGTGTTTTCCCTGCTCCTTCTCCCGCTCCTATCCCTGTGTTTTCCCGGTTTTCTCTCGGCTCCTTCTCCCAGCTCCTCCCGCTCCTATCCCGGTGTTATCCCGGTGTTATCCCGGTTTTCTCCCGGTTCCTTCTCCCACCTCCTCCCGCTCTTCCCCCGCTCCTATCCCAGTCCTATCCCGGTTTTATCCCTGTGTTTTCCCGGCTCCTTCTCCCGCTCCTATCCTGGTTTTCTCCCCGCTCCTTCTCCCAGCTCCTCCCGCTCCTATCCCGGTGTTATCCCTGTGTTTTCCCGGCTCCTTCTCCCAGCTCCTCCCGCTCTTCCCCCGCTCCTATCCCAGTCCTATCCCGGTTTTATCCCGGTGTTTTCCCGGCTCCTTCTCCCTGTCCTCTCCTGCTCTTATCCCGGTGTTATCCCGGTATTTTCCCGGCTCCTTCTCCCGCTCCTATCCTGGTTTTCTCCCGGTCCTCTCCCGCTCCTATCCCGGTTTTCTCCCGGCTCCTTCTCCCGCTCCTTCTCCTGCTCCTCTCCCGGTCTTATCCCGGTCCTATCCCGGTTTTCTCCCGGCTCCTTCTCCCCGTCCTATCCCGGTCCTATCCCGGTTTTCTCCCGGCTCCTTCTCCCGGTGTTATCCCGGTCCTATCCCAGTGTTATCCCGGTCCTATCCCGGTCCTATCCCGGTTTTTTCCCGGCTCCTCCTCCCTCCGCCGCCTCCGGGATGAAGCCGGAGGAGGCTCCCTCGTGTCTCCAAGAGGAGCCGGGACTCGGTGAGTGCCGGGAGAATCCCGGGAATTCCGGGAATCTGGGGGGGGATGGGACAACCTCCCAGCTCCGGCAGCATCTTCATCCTCATTCCCAAATCCTCATTTCCAAATCTTCATCCTCATTCCCAAATCCTCATTCCCAAATTTTCATCCTCATTCCCAAATCCTCATCTCAAATCCTCATTCCAAGCCATCCTCATTCCCAAATCCTCATTCCCAAATCCTCATTCCCAAATCCTCATTCCCAAATCTTCATCCTCATTCCCAAATCCTCATTCCCAAATCTTCATTCCCAAATCCTCATTCCCAAATCATCATC